ACCACAGAGCCTAGGACTTGCTGATCAGAAGGTCAGTGGTTCGTATCCCCACGACAAGGTGAGCTCCTGTTGCTCAGTCCCTGCTCCTGCCAACCTAGCAGTTCGAAAGCACGTCAAAGTGCAAGTAGATAAATAGGTACCACTCCAGCGGGAAGGTAAACGGCGTTTCCGTGCGCTGCTCCGGTTCACCAGAAGCGACTTAGTCATGCTGGCCACATGACCCGGAAGCTGTACGCCGGCTCCCTCGGCCAATAAAGCGAGATGAGCACCGCAACCCCAGAGTCGGCCACGACTGGACCTAATGGTCAGGGGTCCCTTTACCTTTACCTTATCTGTACGAAAACCTTGTGAGGTTTATTTTCTTATTGCTTTCATATCCCACCTTTTCCTCCAAGGAGCATAAGGTGGCGCTTCCGTCATTCTCTCCATGCTCGTTTCAGTCCCCACAACAACCCTGTGAGGTGGGTTAGGCTGAGAGAGGCAGGGCTGGCTCAAGGTCGCCCAGTAAGCTTTGTGGGAAATTTGAACCCTGGTCTCCTAGTCCAACACTCTAGCACCACACTGGCTCTCAAGCTGCAGAGGATTCTTACAGGCAAGTGAGATCTGCCAGGAAATCTTGCAGTGTTAACGTGCCAGCTCATTTTCGGGCTCAATTCAAGGTGCTCACATTAATGTTTGAAGCCCTACATGAGCCAGGCCCCCAATATCTGAAAGGCCACCTTCCTTTCCTACAGAACCTGTCGAGTGCTGAGATGGGCAGAGGGGACCCTCTTGGTAGTTCCTCCACCATCAGAGGCTCAGGGTAGCAGGAGCCCAGGAGAGGGCCTTCTCTGTGATGGCCCCTAAGCTGTGAAACACATACTTCTCCACCCTGTCGTTGGACATTTGAGTGTATATTTTTAGGACCCACCTTATTTCTGTCATTGTTTTAAATTGTTTTAAACAGTTTGTTTGTTTAAACAACAACAACAGCCACTCCCCCTATCTCACACAGACAGACACACAGACACACAGACTGTGTCCCCAAAGGCAACCTGCCTCTCCCAATTTTAAAAAATTAGATATTATACCTTTTTGTTGTTTGATCGGGGGGGGGGGTGTGTGCCTGATTTCAGGAATGCTGTTGCCTGTGTTTTATCTGGCATTTTCTATGTTTTTTTCTATGCATTTCCTATGCTTTTTTCTGAGCAGGGAGCAATATTCTCCATTATCAGTTTCTCTTCTGTGAAATGGGTATTTTTGCAGTGCCCAGGACAGTGGCTTAGATTTCTGAATGTGTGCCCAGATCCAAAAAGTTTGAGGACTGTTCTGATTGCTAGCCAATGTTTCACGGGTAGTATGCATGCTCAGTCCCCACTGGGCCAATTTGTTTAAAGAGTTTTCTGTTCAAGGTCCCGGCTGTTGATCTCCAACTATTGCTAACTTTGCTGACAACAGCAAAACTATGCATTGCCCAATCTTGGAAATGTAAATAATAAAAAAATCAATTAAAAGAATCAATCACCCACAATTACAGAAGAAAACCAGGGAAACAGCCTTGTATATAAAGCAAGCACATAATAGAGATAAAAATTACAATAATTATCCATGCCTTTCCTCATGCAATTCTGGAATGACAAAGTAGCAGATGATATCTTTCCATAGAACGTATATATGTTAATTTAATTGTCTGCCACCATGTATTATTTCATAGAATCATATAAATGTAAAGTTGGTGGGACCCAGCTTGCTGCAATACACCTGTTCTTTCTCCTCCCTCCATTATTATTATTATTATTATTATTATTATTATTATTACCCCGACCATCTGGCTGGGTTGCTCCAGCCACACTGGGCGGCTTCGAATACATATAAAAACATAATAAAACATTGAACATTCATAATAGCAGTCTGATCCAATACAAAAAATGTCACAATAACTTTAAAATAAACAACATGTGTCAAATAAAGCAACATTCAATAATCCATTGGAATCTAAAAGTAACTATTGAAATTAAATATCAGCAAATACATCGGAACCTCGGTTTTCGAACGTAATCTGTTCCGGAAGCCCGGTTGACTTCCGAAACATTTGAAAACCGAGGATCAAAGGGCTGCCTGACCATCTCCTGCCACGTGTCTCAACAGGTATACTCAGCGTACAAGTTTGCACTCGCAGCCCGCGACGGGAAGCTACCGATGGCTGTCGTCAACATTGGCCCGACCAGGGCAGATTCCTTTGTGACTCTGAAACTGAATTCTCGTTGCGGGGAGCTGCTGCCTCTGATTGTCCTAAAGTGACCCAAATCGACACCCCGGGGGAGCAACCCCTCTCTGGGGTAGGTAAGTGTCCCCACACTCTTGCAGCCCAGCAGAGTTAGGCCCTCAGTTGGTCATGTCTGGTGCTGGAACCCAAAGGGCATGAGGCCAGGGAAGAATCAGAATTCAGAATCATAGAATAGTAGAGCTGGAAGGGACCCCTGGGGCTCATCTATTCCAACCCCTGCAATGCAGGAGGCACAGCTAAAGAATCCATGACAGGTAACCATAATAATAAGAATAAGAATAAATAATAATTTATTTATACCCCCCGCACACATGTCCGCAGCGCTGGAAATCACTTCTGCGCATGCCCAGACACTGAATTTTGTGCCTGCGCAAAAGCAATTTTTGGCATCTGGGCATGCACAGAAGCGATTTCTGGAGCCGCAGAAGAGAGTCCCCACGCCACGCCGGTTTAGCGCAGTGTGCAGGGACTCGCTGAGCGGGCGGCTTGGTTCAGGAGCGGCTCGTGGGCCAATTAAACGGCCTCCATGGGCGGCTTCCAGACCATGGGCCTTAGGTTGCCAGCCCCTGCTTTAAATTCCTCCATGAATTCATCGAATCCTTTTTTCAAAAGACATCCAAGTTGGTGACAGTCATTGCATCCTGTGGCAGTGAGTTCCGTAGTTCTGCCTCACTGATGCACATTTTCTCAATCTGTTCAACCCACACATCAACAGGTGCTAAGCTGTGTTCCTCCAGATGTTGCTGGACTCCCATCATCCCTGAGCATTGGCCATGCTGGCTGGGGCTGAAGGGAACTGGAGTACCACACCTGGTGGGCTACCGGTTCTCCATCCCTCATGTACAGGCTTAGTCCAAGCTCAAGTTTTGCTGGAGCAAGTGGCTCACTTGGAGCTCTCCATGGTCCTTCAGTTGTGAGGGGTGACAGGATAGCCTCCTTCAAATATTTGAAGGGCTGTCACATGGAAGGTCGAGCGAGCTTGCTTTCTGCTGTTCTGAGGGAAGGACCTGAACCGATGGATTCAAATCATAGAACTGTAGAGTAGGAAGGCACCCAAAGGTCATCCAGTCCAGCCCCCTGCAATGCAGGAATCACAGCTAAAAAGCCCCTCTCCCATGGCCAATCTACGCAAGAGAGAGAATTTTGTCCTCTTCAATCTCTTGCATGCTACATTTGGTTTTATCACCTGGAAAGGCACTCCCCAGTTTAACAGCACAGTTCAAGATTGCGGCCACTTCACAAAAATAATTTTAAAAAAGATAGGAAGCTTTAAACAAAACAGAGCCGAGCAGTTCTGTCCTGTTTCCACTTGCTATTTTAATTTAATCCACTCCACGTGGTTTATTTAAACCAAGGACTTGTACACTGACCACTAATAATGAATCATATGTTGTAGATATTATTGCAAATCTATTATGCTATTTTTGTAATGTACAAATGACATTAAAAAATAATAATTGTGGCCACTTTTGTGGACAATCTTCAAACATCAAGTTTGCACTTGGGTCCTGCTGCTGGGCTCCTCTTGGGGGCACCTGGTTGGCCACTGTGGGAACAGGATTCTGGAGCAGATGGGCCGCTGCCCTGCCACAGTAGCTGGGTTCTCCTTATGCTCTCCTGGAACCTCCAGGTCTAGGGGCAGTCTACCCTGATTCTTGAATTCCCGGGGGCATTTGGTCCCTGTGAGAGCGGGAGGCTGGACTAGACAGGCCACTGGCCTGATGCAGCGAGTTTCTCCTTATGTCCTTTATGCTCTTTAGCTTTCTTTACAGCATCAACCTACCGGGGGGAGTGGGGGCACAGACGGACCAGCCTCACCGCTTGCCATGTTTTTTCTCCTTCCAGGGCCGCTGCCAGCAACGCCGCCACATCTTCCCAGAGCTCATCCAGCCCCACGTCCGCTTTCAACACGCCTGTGCTGGCCAAGTTCAGAGGCAGCAAAGATGAGGAGAAGGAGGACAATGAAAACCCGGGTCCTGATTCTCAACCGATGGGGGCCTAAACAACTTTTGTGTAGGGGGGATGCTGTGTGAATTAAAAAGAAACCTCCGGTGCACGCTGCTTCCCGGGTGTGGCCTCTGCTGCGGATCTGGCAGAGAGGAAATGGCTACCAGTGGCCGGGAGAGGGGAGAAATCTTCATGCCTTAGCGGGAGGGTATGCCGCCAAATGCTCTTTTTCAAAAGGATATGGCGGTACTACAATTCCCATCATCCCTAGCTAGCAGGACCAGCAGGTGGGGGTGATGGGATTTGTAGTCTGAAAAAACAGCTGGAGACCTCTGTTTGGGAAACACTAGGATACGGGAAGGGCTGCAGCTCAGCATAAGGCCGGTGCCTTTTGAAATCTGCTCTAAATGAGAGCCATGAGGACTAGAAACCTACTTCATTTTCAGGGGAAGGGTGCAGCTCAGTGGCAGACCATCTCCTCTGCATACAGGAGCTCTTGGGGTTGATTCTCCACATAGGGCTGATGGACCTGACTTGGTGTAAGGCAGATTTCTATTTAAATCTGCTATTTGTTTAGAACAATGAGGACTAGGATCTTACTTCATTTTTAGGGGAGGGGCACAGCTCAGTGGTAGAGCTTTGCGTGCCGAAGTTACCGTAAGTTCAGTCCCTGGCATCTCCAGGTAAGCTTGGGAAGGTCCCTTCCCTGAAACCATATGTTGTTTGGTTATGCAAAAAAATAAGAACACCATAAAAATTGATGCATATATTAAAGGAAATGTGTATGTGAGTTAGAACTGCAGAAAAAAATGTGTTTATTAGGTGAGATTTGCACTTAAAACACTGTTGAATATTCAAGAGAGAGAGATTGAGAAATGCACCAGAAAGCAGCCCCCAATAATTTGCAGCACCTGCGGACATGTGTGCAGATGTAATTTCTGGCATCGTGCTGCGTCAGCTCGGCCCACAGGATCTCTGCGGGAGTGATCCGGCCCATGCCTGGTAAGCCTTGCCAACCCCTGCTTTAAAGGATCTGGCCAGTGCCTGGCCAGTGCCTGTTTTCCCACTCATAATTCTTTTCATAATCCACTCATAATCCACTTTCCCCACAAATAATTCTCAGAGGATTTTCTCCAGAATGTAGCTGTTGCTCATGATCTGGTCCACGACTCCTGGCAGCCAATCTCTGAGGAGCATCAAAGGTTTCGTGAGCCAGTAAGGGAAAAAAACTTCCCTCTCCCTCATGACGCCGCCCCTCACGATGGCCTGGGCGCAGAGCTCTTTCGAACTTGGCTTCATGGAGATCTTGCCTTCTACCGACCTCATAGCTGAGTCTGTGGGAAAGAACGCGGAAGACAAGTCAGTGTGGAAAGGGCACCAGGCACCCCAGGACCTCAGAAGCTGCTGCTGGTCTGTCTGCCTTGCTGCTGCCTACAGGGGCTGACGGTGGCTCTCCAGAGCTGCAGGCTCAGGAGTCTCGCCCAGCCCTTCCTGTAGATGCTTCCAGGGATTACCTGCTCTGCTAGGTTGGCAGGAGCTGGGACTGAGCAACGGGAGCCCATCCCGTCACAGGGATTTGAACTGCCAGCCTTCTGAGCGGCAAGCCCAAAAGGCTCAGTGGCTTAGACCCACGTCCCATCACGATGTTTAGCTGGTGTTATAAGAAAAAACTGCTCTTTTCCCCTTCTGGGCTATCCTGGAGCCCGTATAGAGTCTTTAAGTGGGTTCCCTATCGGTAGCAGAAAATAGCAGAGGCCAGCCAGAGAACATTGAGAAGCAAAGTGGCTAGTAAGCCTGATCTTTATTAAACTGTGGCAACAGGGTCCCCACTCACCACACGCAGGAGGGAGGAGAGAACCCTGAACAATGGTGCGCAAGCCCTTAAAAGACTATTGAAATTGGCCACCCTGTTGCCCAAGACCATCCCCCTAAAACAGCATACATACATCACAGAGGGAGACGGTCTACAGCAGAAATCCTGTTTGCCAGGATACCTCATAATGGTCACTGATTGCATTACCTGGGCAGTCTGGCCATTCTTTTGTGATGGTTAATGCTTTAGTTCCTGAATCCAGGGCACAGGCTCACCCTATTCATACACAAATACACCCTTAAGGCAGGATTTGCAAGCAAAATGACAATGGGAAGGCTTTCCCACTTTTCCTCCCTTACTGCAGAGAAATATTTGAGGTCATTGGGAGAGTCAAAATGGCTTCAGGATTGCTCTCCTGTACTATTTCAGACACGTGGTTTATGTATGTTTGCCTTGAACATTTATGAACATTTATTTTACATTTGAGATCTTAGAATTCTTACAACACTGGTGATATATCACGATGTTGAACACTGGATTATCACCCAGCCCTACTAAGCGGCTGCCCTACCTGGGGCTGCTTACCTGTGTCAATGTACCCCAACACGGCAACCGTGATGGGCATGTTGATTTCCCGAAGGCGCAGCTCTGTCCGCAAGGAGCTGTAGAATCCTTCCAGCGCAGCTTTGCTGGCGGCATATGGAACGGAGAAAGGGGATGGAAGGCGGCCTGAGAGAAAACAGGAACATATTCCTACTTGGAAGGTTGCAGAATCTATTTCTCCAGAAACCAAAGGGGTTAAGGGGATGGAGCGACTGCCCCTCTGAGGGAACGTTGCAGCCTTTCGGACTTTTTAGTTTAGAGGAGAGGCGAGTAAGGGGGCGACATGATATTGGTTTGTACAACTGACATGGAGAAAGCGGTGACAGAAAGGATTTTCTCCCCCTCACGTTTTTTTCAGCAGAAGAATGGGGTGTGAGTGCTTTCCAATAAATTAACTAACAGAGGATTGGGAAATTTAGATGCAGGAGCCCTAGAAGGACCTAAGAAGAGCCCTGCTAATCAGGCCAATGACCCATCTAGTAGTAGTAGTAGTAATAATAATAATAATAATAATAATAATAATACGTTTATATCCCGTGCATCTGGCTGGGTTTCCCCAGCCGCTCTGGGCAGCTCCCAACAGAATTTTTAAAACACGATAAATACATCAAACATTAAAAGCTTCCCTAAACAGGGCTGCCTTCAGATGTCATCTAAAAGTCAGATAGTTGTTTATTTCCTTGACATCTGATGGGAGGGCGTTCCACAGGGCGGGTGCCACTACCGAGAAAGCCCTCTGCCTGGTTCCCTGTAACCTCACTTCTCGCAGGGACGGAACCGCCAGAAGGCCCTCGGCACTGGACCTCAGTGTCTGGGCAGAACGATGGGGGTGGAGTCACTCCTTCAGGTATACCGGGGCTGAGGCCGTTTAGGGCAATAAAGGTCAACACCAGCACTTTGAATTGTGCTCAGAGAGTTTGGACCTCCTGAGATCACTTAGGCTGGAGGGCCTCCAGTCGCCTGCCCATACCGCATATGGACGATACCACGATGATGTTGCCACGGGACTCTTGCAACATGCTCAGGGCCGACACGGTGACCTGGACGTAGCTGAAGAAGTTGACCGTCATGGAGCTGATCACAGATTCCATGTCTCCTTGGTACGGGCCAAAACCGATTTTTCCACCGACATGATTCAGAACCAGCAGATCAAGCCCCCCTGCAGGGGAAAAGAGCACAGAGACCCTGAGTGGAAGAGGGAGAGCAACAGCCGTGCTTGGAGATGGACCGAGCTCAGCCTCTTCTCATGTTTTCAGGCTGTCCCTGAAAATCAGCCTGTGCCGAGCTTAGTCCTTTCATGATTTAGCTTTGATTCCATCATTGCGGGGGTTGGGCTAGATGACCCTTGGGATCCCTCCCAACCTTACGATTCTCTGATACCAGCCTTCGCAAGCCTGGTGCCCTCCCAGTGTAGGAACGCAAAGAGAAATTTGGTTAGGCTTGCATTAAGACAGCGTTTTCCGAACTTTTTTCTCCTTACCCAATAAAAAGCATTATTCAGAAGCGTGATTTGCGCAAGCCAGTAAGGAAGATAGTAACGCAATGACATTCAAAATGGTAACTGGTGACACCAGCTTTCACAGAATCACAGAATGATAGAGCTGGAAGATACACCCAATCAATGAGAAATTGGAAACAAGTCAAAATCTATTAATCTCAAATGACTGGGGCTGATGGGAGTTGCTGTCCAAATTATCTGGAAGGCCAATCAGGTTGGGAGATGCTGGTCAACCCCCTTCCTTCCTTCCTTCCTTCCTTCCTTCCTTCCTTCCTTCTCCCTCCCTCCCTCCCTCCCTCCCTCCCTCCCTGGCCAGGTTTAATTCAAAACCTTTAAACCTCCTATGGGGAAGGTTCTCAGGAATGGTGGAAGGAGAAAGAATTTGCCCATGTGAAGACCCTCAAGTGGAAACTCTTACACATATGGTTCTTAAATGTAAGCTATATGTTGATCTCCACCAGCACTTCCTAGATCAACTCTGCATCCCCAAATGGAAACCAGAGTTAGAGGTCATACATTTTCTATTATTGGGGAATAATCAGGAGCTACCAAGTTAGTGGCTAAATATCTTTATCTGGTTTTTTGTCGAAACACATTGCAGATGTCTGATTTCCCTGGAGACCTAGAGATGTAATACTAGACTGCTTTGCCTCTTTCATTTGACAAACGTTTTGTGTCACTGGGAAGGTGGTAATTCTGTATTGATTTGCTATGGATGTTTGTATGTGATGCCAATAGAAGGTTTGATGATGATGATGATGATGATGATGATGATGATATACCATCCTTCATCAAAAGATCTCTGGGCAGATCTTTGCCAAGATGCAGGCAGACATGTCAATAGCTGTGGTGTCCCAGGGCAGAAGCCTGCAAATGCCTTGGAGCTGTTCCCCTCAAGACGAAAGGGTTAAGGAGCCCTTTGCCTGCGCCTCAGGTAGCTTGTGTGGCAGCCTTTTGGGAACTGGAAGAACAGTTGCCACCCCTCCAAGACTGGCTAGGCCTTCCATCTTTACCCAAGACCTTCTTGGTTTCTTCCACAACATTCCGGGCAGAAGCCAAGTCACTCATATCTGAAACGACGTACGAAGCAGAGGCGGCTCCCAGTTTCAGACAATTCTGGACTACCTGGAGGAAACAAATAAATGGAAGATGAGCCCCAAAATGGAAAACGAGCGAGGTACCAACTAAAGAAGATTGGCTTCTTAAACTGATGGAATATGTGCAGCTTGCAGACTTAACTTATAGAATAAGAGAACAAGAAGAGTATAAGCATAAAGAAGATTGGGAAATGTTTATTGAATACATGGGTGAAAATTGTGTACACTTGAAAAGGTTGGCAGCTTTAAGATAAATTCAACAGTCTAAATAAGTTTTGATGGATGTAAAAATGGAATATTGGATGGCTTAGTTTATGTGAAATATGCAGGGATCTATGGCATGCAAACTGAACCATGGAAAGAGAAGAAGGGAAGTCATTGATATTTTAAGGTTGTTTAAATGAATATTCTAAATTATAAAATTTTAAAAAACTTAATAAAAATTATGCAAAAAAGAGAAAACAAATAAAAATAAAGAGGGAACTTAAAAATGGCTTCTAAGCGGTTTTCAAGTATAAAATCCATTGTAAAATGCTACAACGCACAATAAAATAATCCTATTTGATCAGTAAAAAACAGCCACAAAATTTATTATACAGTGAACCAGTTTAAAAGCACCATAATTTTAAAAAATCAAAATCAAAACAGTTGGATCAGGAAGTTCAAGTTCAAGGGAATGTTCATCGGAAACAAGTGTGTCTTTAAAAACCAGTAGAATAGCAGTAGTGATGGTGAGTCATAAAATCACAGAATTATAGAGTTAGAAGAGACCCCAAGAGTCATCTAGTCCAACGCCTTAGAGCAAGGAGGGCGTTCCATAATGCCGGTGCCATCGGGGGAAAAGCCTCCATGTTCCCACAAGCCAATGGTCACCATCAGGGCATGGCTAAACTATGTTCCATTATGGAACAACGGATTCTTGTGGGAGGGGAGCTTAGTCAGAAGGAGGGCCAGATGAGGAAGGAAGAGATGAGGGGGGTATTTTTGAGAGGGGAGGGGAGGCTAAGGGTTGTAGCCAAACTAAGACTATTGGAATCAAGGAACCTGAGATTAACTACATTGGGGTCAAGGGATTAACAGTTTACCTTCTGGAGGCGTGTCTCATTCCTCGCTGTCAGCATCAAATGGGCCCCCATCCAGGCGAACTCATAGGCCATTTGTTCCCCTATCCCTGTGCTTGACCCCGTCACCAGGACCCGTTTCCCTCGCACCATTTCTGGAGACAGAGAGGAGATGGTCAACATCAGCCGCCCATGATGCAGATGTTCTGCACTGAAGTTCGTAAGAAAAGAAACGTAAGGAGAGGAGGAGAGTCTGGTCAAAGGGGCCCCCATGCAGTCACAGAATCACAGAGTTGGAAAAGACCCTTAGGATCATCTAGTCCAGGCCCCCCCCCAAACTCGGCCCTCCAGATGTTTTGGGACTACAACTCCCATCATCCCTAGCTAACAGGGCCAGTGGTCAGGGATGATGGGAATTGTAGTCCCCAAACATTTGGAGGGCTGAGATTGGGGATGCCTGATCTAGTCCAACCCCCTACAATGCTGGGATATGCAGCTGTCCTCATACGGGGATCGAACCTGCAGCCTTGGTATTATCAGCCAACTGAGCTATCCAAACTATCCTGTTCTCGCAGTGGACGACTAAATGCCCCAAAGGGAAGCCCACGAGCAGGATCTGAGTGCAGCAGCACTCTCCTGTCTGGTGGCTTCCAGCAATGGAGATTTAGAAGTATTACTGCCTCCTCCCTAGTAATTGATTTTATTTCACAAGATCAATATACGGCTGGATTGTAACACAACGTCGACACCATTACGAAACAACAAAGTTGATGAAAGCAATTCTTTAAAACGTTCAGAAATTAAATCAGAATAAATGATCATTACCCCAGAGTCTCAGGGGTGGGGGCAGCCGAAGGGAGGGTCTTTTCTGTGGTGGCCTCTAAGCTGCAGAACTCCCACTTCACAGAGATGCACTTTCGTTATACAGCTTTCAGCAAATGCTAAAGACGCACCTCTTTCCCCTGGCACCTGTGTCTTTAGGATCCACCTTTCCCCCCAGTGATTGTAATTAAACTGTTTTTAAAGTTGTGTTTTGTTGTAACCCGCTCTGGAACCTTAGGGTGAAGGGAGAATTAATTAATTAATTAATTAATTAATTAATAATAATAATAATAATTTAAAACACTAATGTAAAGCATGGGCCAGGTTCTATGCATCTGGATAGGGTAATCGAAACAAAAAAAGTTTTTAGCAAGTGCCAACAACAGACCCTCCAAGCTTCCCTATTTTCCAGGGACAATCCCATATTTACAGAAGCTCTCCCGGTTTCTGATCTGATCCCTGAATGTCCCACTTTTCCTTAGGACTTCCCTATTTTCTTTGGAGAAATGTTGGAGGGTAGTGATCCGACCTCCGAGCCATCTGAAGGTAGCCCTGTGTAGGGAAGTTTTTCAATATTTTATTATATTTTCATATATGTTGGAAGCTAGGTGGGCGAGGTATAAATAGTAACTTCTTTGTTGTTGATGTTGTTGTTGTTGTTATGGAATAGGTGGTCCCTATTTTCATCGGATAAATGTTGGAGAGTATGCAACAAGAGCAGAGCGAAGGTGCTTGTCTGGTGTCGCTGGCATGCTATGTGCAAACATTCCCGAAAACGGCAGAGGGATTTATGTACAAGAGACGATCAAAGCCACGATTCAGAAGAGGCAACCCTTCTCCCTTGGCTTACCTTCGGAGAAGCTTTCCCAGGTATAGGCATAGTAAACGAGGACAGCGATGAGGACAGGCGCAACGATCTTGAGCACCGCCATGGTTGTCTCGGCAGCCAATCATTAACCTCGACTAGCTGGAGTTGTTTGGTGAGGTTCAGAAATCCACCCTTTGCCGTGTGGCCACCCGAAGCCTTTCCCTGCTTCAAATTGTGCAATTTCTCCTAGCCTTGGGCACACACCTCCACCTCTCGGCTCCAGCGCCTTTCTTCCTTTCTTTTCTTCCTTCTTTTCTTTTGCTACCCTAATTGTTTCTTACCGTGTATTTTTTATATGTTTTGTTCTTATATGTTTTTATTCTTGAAGTTCTTCTTATGTTTAAATTTTGAAACTTTTTATTGTCTGTGAAACTTTAATAAATATTACTATATATAAAAAAAGGAAAACAACAACCCAGAAAAAAAAATTTGGCGAGGTTCAGAAATCCACCCTTTGCCCTGTGGCCACCCAAAGCCTTTCCCAGAAATAAACAACTATTGGCATAATAATAATAATAATAATAATAATAATAATAATAATAATAATAATAATAATGTATTATTTATAGCCTGCCCATCTGGCTGGGTTTCCCCAGCCACTCTGGGCAGCTCCCAACAGAATATTAAAAACAATAAAACATCAGACGTTCGAACTTCCCTAAACAGGGCTGACTTCAGATGTCTTCTAAAAGTCAGCTAGTTGTTTATTTCCTTGACATCTGGTGGGAGGGCGTTCCACAGGGCGGGTGCTATTACCGAGAAGGCCCTCTGCCTGGTTCCCTGTAACCTCGCTTCTTGCAGGGAGGGAACCTGCCAGAAGACCCTCGGAGGTGGACCTCAGTGTCCAGGCTGAACGATGGGGTGGAGACGCTCCTTCAGGTATACTGGGCTGAGGCCATTTAGGACTTTAAAGGTGAGCACCAACACTTTGAATTGTGCTCGGAAATGTACTGGGAGCCAATGTAGATCTTTCGGGACTGGTGTTCTATGGTCTTGGCGGCCACTCCCAGTCGCCATTCTAGCTGCGGCATTCTGTATTAATTGTAGTTTCCGGGTCACCTTCAAAAGTAACCCCACATAGAGCACATTGCAGTACAGCTGGGAACACACCCAGTCTGGAATCCCAGACAGTCACTGCCAGTCAGTGTAGACAATACTGAGCTAAGTCTCACTCACGATAAGGCAGTTTCTTATGCTCTCCCGATCTTCCAAATAGGGCTTCAGTTCTGCAGGGATGCAGAGCGAGAGGGAGAGATTTGGGACAAGTGCAAGGGGAACATTGCATCTGTCTTCTGACAACCTTCCTGAGGTTTTGTAATACAACCCCCATCAGCCCCCAGCACACACTTAATTGAAATCCAGGAAATCAAGATGACACCGAATGGATGAAGGCTGAGTTACAGGCTGGGTGCTGTCCCCCTACACAGTGGGTGGTGCTGTGGTCTAAACCACTGAGCCTCTTGGGCTTGCCAATCAGAAGGTCGGAGGTTTGAATCCCCGCGACGGGGTGTGTTCCCGTTGCTCTGTCCCAGCTCTGCCAACCTAACAGTTCAAAAGCACACCAGTGCAAGTAGATAAATAGGTACCACTGCTGCAAGAAGGTGGTATTATTATTATTATTATTATTATTATTATTATCATTATTAATTGAATTGATATACTGCCTTATACCCGGGGATCGCAGGGCGGTTCACAGAATAAAATCAAGATATAAAACCACAAAATACATCATCATCCCAATAGCCCCCCCCCTCACAAAAACATATTTTTAAAGGGCATAGAATGTAAATCAGATCAACCAAAGGCCTGGTTAAAAAGGAATGTTTTTGCCTGACACCTAAGGGTGGCTAATGAAGGCGCCAGACGAACTTCCCTGGGGAGAGAATTCCACAGACGGGGAGCCACTGCAGAGAAGGCCCGTTCTCATGTTGCCACCCTCCGCACCTCTCAAGGAGGAGGCACATGAAGAAGGGCCTCAGAAGATGATCTCAGGGTCCAGGTAGGTTCATATGGAAAGAGGCAGCCCTTGAGGTATTGTGGTCCTGAGCTAGTTAACAGTAGATACTTTCAAGTTACATCTTGCTATTTAAATGGTCTCCTATCTGTGTGAACCTTCCAGAGTTCTTAAAGAGGGAGTGGAGAGGAAGGTTTATTTCACTGTCCTGTATAGGTCAGAGGGTGCAACATTTATATATTAAATGACATTTGTGGACTGCTAAAGATTTTTATTTTTAAGATATTGAAGTGGTGTACAGAAAATTGAAATCTGCAATAAAACCATCAATAGCAAACCACTAAACTCATCATTATAAAATACATTCTAAGCCACAATGTAGCTCAGGGGCTACAGCATCTACGTTGCATGAAGAAGGTCCCGGGTTTCATCCTCTATGGCAATTTCAGGTTGGACGTGGAAAGGCTCTGTGTCTGAAACCCTGGAGAGCTGCTGCCAGTCAGTGTAGACAGTACAGAGCTAGACAGATCAATGGTAGCTTCCTATGTTCCTAAAGGAACACAGTCCAGCTTTAAAAACTGTGGAAAGCCCAAGCAAAAGAGGTTGCCTTTAAGAGGTGTCTAAACAGGCTGTGGGATGCAGGTGGCGCTGTGGTCTAAACCACTGAGCCTAGGGCTTGCCGATTGGAAGGTCGGCGGTTCGAATCCCCGCGACGGGGTGAACTCCTGTTGCTTGGTCCCAGCTCCTGCCCACCTAGCAGTTCAAAAGCACGTCAAAGTGCAAGTAGATATATAGGTACCGCTCCAGCGGGTCACATGACCCGGAAGCTGTCTGCGGACAAACACTGGCTCCCTCAGCCAGTAAAGCAAGATGAGTGTGCAACCCCAGAGTCATCCGTGCCTGGACTTAACGGTCAGGGGTCCCTTTACCTTTTGAAACAGGTGATGACAGGAGGAGACTTCTCAACAACAACAAAAAGGAAAGCGAGTGTGGCCTAGTGGTTAGAGTGTAGGACATGGAAGAGACCTGGGTTCAAATTCCCACTTGGCCATGAAGTTCAATTGGTGACCTAACCTACCTCACAAGGTTGTTCATAGAATCTTAGAATTGTAGAGTTGGAAGGGATACAAAGGGCCATCTAGACCTAGACCAACCCCCTGCAATGCAGTGATCTCAGCCAAGGCACCCATGACAGATGGCCATCCAACCTCTGCTTGAAAACCTCCAAGGATGGAGAGTCCATCACCTCACGAGGGAATCCGTTCCAATGTCAAACGGTTCTTATCAGAAAGTTATTCCTGGTGTTTAGTCGGAATCTCCTTTCTTGTAAGTTGCACCCTTTGGTTTGAGTCCTACGCTCAGGAGCAGAAAACAATCTTGCTGCATCTTCCATGGGACAGCCCTTCAGATATTTGAAGGTGGCTATGCTATTTCCTCTCCGTCGCCCCTTTTCTAGGCTACGTATACCCAGCTGCTTCGACCGCTCTTCATATGGCATGGTTTCCAGACCCTTGATCATCTTGGTCGCCTTCCCCTACACACTTGCCAGCTTGTTGTGGGGATTAAGTGAGGAGGAGGAGGAGGAGGAGAACCATGTAGGCCACCTTGAGCTCCTCGCAGGAGAAGGTGGGGTACAAATGCAATTTGTTATGTACTGAAGTTCTCACCCTGGGCCAGCAGGGGGATACTGTAGATAGTTTTCACTCAGGTCCACATATGCAAATAAGGGATTGAAAGTGACATTCAGTGATTGGATAGTTACAGAAAGTTGTTACAATTGCGTTGTAGTGGAGCTCCATATAAGCAGGCCGGCTGAACCCTTCAGTTCAGTTATGTTCTGGCCTGTAAATAAACAAGAGCTGTTTGAAGAATCGCTGTGTCGTCTGATATATTCACCCACAATTTAACACAATAATAAAAAGTCCCCAGTGAGTTGAGAGTAGTGGGCCAATAGCGCATTAGCACCAACAGACTCGCCTCCGCAGCATTTGTGAGGTTTGCTGCTGACAGTAACACCCACCCACATCCAAAAGCCTTTCCCTGTTTCACACTGTGCTGGTCCCGTGGGTTACCCGAGAGGCAAGGTCCAAGTCCGGTCCGTGGTCAAAGGTGCAATGTGGAGGCAGTCCGTAGAAGCTGAAGCTGGGTGCAGGGCAGGGAGTCGGGTGAAGTCAGGAACAGGCATGCAAGCAGGGAGCCAGGGCGGGTCAGGAGCTCAGGCAAGAACTAGCAACCAACAACACTGATCCTGCAACTTGGGACTGGGGCTGGCCGGCTTTTATCTGCCCCAGTGCATAGGGCTGCCCCGATCCTCTGGTGACTCGCCTCTCCTGGCCTGGAGGCGAGCACTCCTCCTGCGGGAACTTAGTTCCCTCCGCCTCTCTGCCCTGAGCCTCTGCAGCTCAGGAGAGGCTGGAGGGTCACTGGACCCAGAGGCAACCTCAGCTTCCCCTGATGGGGCTGAGAGTGGAGCACCTGCAGGCAATGGGTCCTCCATCACCTCTGGGGCCAGAGCAGACTCAGCTGACGCCTGCACCTGAGGATCCAGGACAGGTGAGGACCCTTCAGGCTCAGGCCCCAGCCCCGGCTCAGCTGGTTCTGGAGGCGGGGAATCCTGTGCAGGCTGGGATCCCTCTGGTTCAGCATCCAAGTCCGAATCCCAGGCCATCACACACACTTTGTGTCACTGTTAACCCACACCTGAGGCTGCGGAGAGGGGAGTGTGACGCATGCCATGATCTGACAGATTCCAACCACACAGGTTTTTTAAGGCACTGATCACTTGAGGAGGCGAAGGATCTTTCTTTCACAAGTTGAGACTTTGCAGCCGGTTGCAAAAGGTGCTGGAGCCGAGAGGTGGAGCTGTTTGCCCAAGGCTAGGAGAAATTGCACAATTTGAAGCAGGGAAAGGCTTCGGGTGGCCACAGAGCAAAGGGTGGATTTCTGAACCTCACCAAACAAGTCCAGCTAGTCGAGGTTAATGATTGGCTGCAGAGACAACCATGGCGGTGCTCAAGATCGTCGCGCCTGTCCTCATCGCTGTCCTCGCTTTCTATGCCTATACCTGGGAAAGCTTCTCCGAAGGTAAGCCAAGGGAGAAGGGTTGCCTCTTCTGAATCGTGGCCTTGATCCTCTCTTGCACATAAATGCCTCTGCTGTTTGCACATAGCATGTTTGCACATAGCATGCTAGCGACACCAGACAAGCACCTTCGCTCTGCTCTTGTTGCATACTCTCTAACATTTATCCGATGAAAATAGGGACCACCTGTTCCATAATAATAATAATGATGATGATAACAACAACAAAGAAGTTACTATTTATACCTCACCCACCCGGCTTCCAACAGATATGAAAATATGATAAAACATTGACAAACTTCCCTATACAGGGCTACCTTCAGATGGCTCTGGGGCTCGGATCACTACCCTCCAACATTTTTCCGAAGAAAATAGGGAAGTCCTAAGGAAAAGCGGGACATTCAGGGATCAGATCAGAAACCGGGAGAGCTTCTGTAAATATGGGATTGTCCCTGGAAAATAGGGAAGCTTGGAGGGTCTGTTGTTGGCACTTGCTAAAAACTTTTTTTGTTTAGATAACCCTATCCAGATGCATAGAACCTGGCCCATGCTTTACATTAGTGTTTTAAATTATTATTATTATTATTATTATTATTATTATTATTATTAATTAATTAATTAATTAATTCTCCCTTCACCCTAAGGTTCCAGAGCGGGTTACAACAAAACACTTTAAAAACAGTTTAATTACAATCACTGGGGGAAAAGGTGGATCCTAAAGACACAGGTGCCAGGGGAAAGAGGTGCGTCTTTAGCATTTGCTGAAAGCTGTATAACGAAAGTGCATCTCTGTGAAGTGGGAGTTCTGCAGCTTAGAGGCCACCACAGAAAAGACCCTCCCTTCGGCTGCCCCCACCCCTGAGACTCTGGGGTAATGATCATTTATTCTGATTTAATTTCTGAACGTTTTAAAGAATTGCTTTCATCAACTTTGTTGTTTCGTAATGGTGTCGACGTTGTGTTACAATCCAGCCGTATATTGATCTTGTGAAATAAAATCAATTACTAGGGAGGAGGCAGTAATACTTCTAAATCTCCATTGCTGGAAGCCACCAGACAGGAGAGTGCTGCTGCACTCAGATCCTGCTCGTGGGCTTCCCTTTGGGGCATTTAGTCGTCCACTGCGAGAACAGGATAGTTTGGATAGCTCAGTTGGCTGATAATACCAAGGCTGCAGGTTCGATCCCCGTATGAGGACAGCTGCATATCCCAGCATTGTAGGGGGTTGGACTAGATCAGGCATCCCCAATCTCAGCCCTCCAAATGTTTGGGGACTACAATTCCCATCATCCCTGACCACTGGCCCTGTTAGCTAGGGATGATGGGAGTTGTAGTCCCAAAACATCTGGAGGGCCGAGTTTGGGGGGGGGCCTGGACTAGATGATCCTAAGGGTCTTTTCCAACTCTGTGATTCTGTGACTGCATGGGGGCCCCTTTGACCAGACTCTCCTCCTCTCCTTACGTTTCTTTTCTTACGAACTTCAGTGCAGAACATCTGCATCATGGGCGGCTGATGTTGACCATCTCCTCTCTGTCTCCAGAAATGGTGCGAGGGAAACGGGTCCTGGTGACGGGGTCAAGCACAGGGATAGGGGAACAAATGGCCTATGAGTTCGCCTGGATGGGGGCCCATTTGATGCTGACAGCGAGGAATGAGACACGCCTCCAGAAGGTAAACTGTTAATCCCTTGACCCCAATGTAGTTAATCTCAGGTTCCTTGATTCCAATAGTCTTAGTTTGGCTACAACCCTTAGCCTCCCCTCCCCTCTCAAAAATACCCCCTCATCTCTTCCTTCCTCATCTGGCCCTCCTTCTGACTAAGCTCCCCTCCCACAAGAATCCGTTGTTCCATAATGGAACATAGTTTAGCCATGCCCTGATGGTGACCATTGGCTTGTGGGAACATGGAGGCTTTTCCCCGATGGCACCGGCATTATGGAACGCCCTCCTTGCTCTAAGGCGTTGGACTAGATGACTCTTGGGGTCTCTTCTAACTCTATAATTCTGTGATTTTATGACTCACCATCACTACTGCTATTCTACTGGTTTTTAAAGACACACTTGTTTCCGATGAACATTCCCTTGAACTTGAACTTCCTGATCCAACTGTTTTGATTTTGATTTTTTAAAATTATGGTGCTTTTTAAACTGGCTCGCTGTATAATAAATTTTGTGTGTGTTTTTACTGCTCAGATCGGATTGTTTTATTGTGCGTTGTAGTATTTTACAATGGATTTTATACTTCAAAACCGCTTAGAAGCCATTTTTAAGTTCCCTCTTTATTTTTATTTGTTTTCTCTTTTTGCATAGTTTTTCCTATTTTATAATTTAGAATATTCATTTAAGCAACCTTAAAATATCAATGACTTCCCTTCTTCTCTTTCCATGGTTCAGTTTGCATGCTATAGATCCCTGCATATTTCACATAAACTAAGCCATCCAGTACAGTGGTACCTTGGGTTAAGAATTTAATTTGTTCCGGAGGTCCGTTCTTAACCTGAAACTGTTCTTAACCTGAGACACCACTTTAGCTAATGAGGCCTTCCGCTGCCACTGCGCCGCCGGAACACGATTCTGTTTTCATCATGAAGCAAAGTTCTTAACCCGAGGTACTATTTCTGGGTTAGCGGAGTCTGTAACCTGAAGCATCTGTAACCCGAGGTACCACTGTATTCCATTTTTACAGCCATCAAAACTTATTTACACTGTTGAATTTATCTTAAAGCTGCGAACCTTTTCAAGTGTATTGAGTAATTCACTTAATAATTCAATAAACATTTCCCAATCTTCTTTAAACGTATACTCTTCTTGTTCTCTTATTCTATAAGTTAAGTCTGCAAGCTGCACATATTCCATCAGTTTAAGTTGGGACCTCGCTCGTTTTCCATTTATTTGTTTCCTCCAGGTAGTCCAGAATTGTCTGAAACTGGGAGCCGCCTCTGCTTCGTACGTCGTTTCAGATATGAGTGACTTGGCTTCTGCCCGGAATGTTGTGGAAGAAACCAAGAAGGTCTTGGGTAAAGATGGAGGGCCAGTCTCTAGCCAGTCTTGGAGGGGTGGCAACTGTTCTTCCAGGTCCCAAAAGGCTGCCACACAAGCTGCCTGAGGAGCAGGCAAAGGGCTCCTTGACCCTTTCATCTTGAAGGGAACAGCTCCAAAGGCATTTTGCCCTTCTGCCCTGGGACACCACAGCTATTGGCCTTGTCTGCCTGCATCTTGGCAAAGATCTGCCCAGAGATCTTTTGATGAAGGATGGTATATCATCATCATCAAACCTTCTATTGGCATCACATACAAACACCCATAGCAAATCAATACAGAATTACCGCCTTCCCAGTGACACAAAACATTTGTCAAATGAAAGAGGCAAAGCAGTCTAGTATTACATATCTAGGTCTCCAGGGAGATCAGACGTCTGCAATGTGTTTCGACGACAAAAAACCAGATAAAGATATTTAGCCACTAACCTGGTGAGCTGCTGATTATTCCCCAATAATAGAAAATGTATGACCTCTAACTCTGGTTTCCATTTGGGGATGCAGAGTTGATCTAGGAACTGCTGGTGGAGATCAACATATAGTTTACGTTTAAGAACCATATGCGTAATTCCACCTGATGGTCTTCACATGGGCAAATTCTTTCTCCTTCCACCATTCCTGAGAACCTTCCCCAAAGGTTGTTTGAAGGATTTGAATTAAAAACTGGCCAGGAAGGGTGGGGGAGGGAGAAGGAGGAGGAAGGAAGGAAGGAAGGAAGGAAGGAAGGAAGGAAGGAAGAAGGAAGGGGGTTGACCAGCATCTCCCAACCTGATTGGCCTTCCAGATAATTTGGACAGCAACTCCCATCAGCCCCAGTCATTTGAGATTAATAGATTTTGACTTGTTTCCAATTTCTCATTGATTGGGTGTATCTTCCAGCTCTATCATTCTGTGAAAGCTGGTGTCACCGGATTACGTTCATCAGTTTTGTTGACTCAGTTAACCTAAATAGTTTGAAGTGGGTTTTGAATACATAGTTACCATTTTGAATGTCATTGCGTTACTATCTTCCTTACTGGTTTGCGCAAATCACGCTTCTGAATAATGCTTTTTATTGGGTAAGGAGAAAAAAGTTTGGGAAACACTGTCTTAATGCAAGCCTAACCAAATTTCTTCTTGCATTCCTATCAGCCAGCATTGCTGCATGCTGCTGGGGTGGGCAGGAGTTGGTGTCCAAAACATTGAGAGGGCACCAGGCTTGCGAAGGCTGGTATCAGAGAATCGTAAGGTTGGGAGGGACCCCAAGGGTCATCTAGCCCAACCCCCTAAAACGAAGGAACCGCAACTAAATCATGAAAGGACTGAGCTCAGCACAGGCTGATTCTCAAGGACAGCCTATAGGTTGACATGAGAAGAGGCTGAGCTCCATCCATCTCCAAATATGGTTGTTGCTCTCTCTCTGTCTTCCACTCAGGGTCTCTGCGCTCTTTTCCCTTGCAGGGGGGTTTGATCTGCTAGTTCTGAATCATGTCGGTGGAAAAATCGGTTTTGGCCCGTACCAAGGAGACATGGAATCTGTGATCAGCTCCATGACGGTCAACTTCTTCAGCTACGTCCAGGTCACCGTGTCAGCCCTGAGCATGTTGCAAGAGTCCCGTGGCAACATCATCGTGGTATCGTCTATAAGCGGTATGGGCAGGCGACTGGAGGCCCCCCAGCCTAAGTGATCTCAGGAGGTCCAAACTCTCTGAGCACAATTCAAAGTGCTGGTGCTGACCTTTAAAGCCCTAAACGGCCTCGGCCCAGTATACCTGAAGGAGCGTCTCCACCCCCATCATTCAGCACGGACACTGAGGTCAAGCTCCGAGGGCCTTCTGGTGGTTCCCTTGCTATGAGAAGCCAAGTTACAGGGAACCAGGCAGAGGGCCTTCTCGTAGTGGC